GTGCATTCATTCAAATAAACAGGGCAATTTATGCAAATATAACTGTTTTACAAAAATCTCATCATTTGAGAAAATCATGTTACAGTTCTCTTTGAAGGACTCTTCAACAAGGACCAGCATCCATGCATATTTAAATCTCCCATGACTACTGAGGTTTTCTTTGAGAGCTTAGAGAAAGTGTGCCTATGTTTCCATGTTCCAAACAAATTATATGGTCTCCTGATGAAGCATGACTTCTTTCCTCAGACATCATTGTCTTGATTTCTTCTACCAGAGCATGATAAAGGAGAGCTCACTCATGTTCTTGACTATGTGCATGGTGGATACACCTCATGCTCTAGTTCTTAAGCAGCCTCTGCTTCAGGACTTAAGTCTAAAGGTCTAAAGTAAATTTTAGAACTAAAGTAATCTTTACTGTCTCACATTTAGGTCTTTAATCCACTTTTAATTTGCTTTTATGTGTGGTGTAAGAAAGTCCAGAAAAAAAAAAAAAAAAGAAAGTTGTCCAGTTTCATTCTTTTGCATGTTGCTGCCCAGTTTTCCCAACACCATTGTTTTTTTTTTTTTTTTTTTTTTTTTAGAGCAGCAATATCTACAAAAGCCAAATTATGGGAGTAGTGCTATCTTAACAATATTAAATTACCTCACCAATTGCCATGGCATGTCTTTTAATTTGTTTAGATCTTTTAAAATTTCTTTTGACAGTGTTTTGCATTTTCCATAGTGAAAAGTGTGTACCTATTTTATTGAATTTATAAGTACTTTTTGAATTATATTTTAAATGAGATTGTTTATTTCATTTTATTTCTTGGATACTGCATTGCAAGTGAATAAAATACAATTTATTTTTGTGAAAAAAAAAAAAAAGAACTAAAGTAATCTTAAAGGGTACAACTTTAATAAAAAAGATTTATTTATTATTTATTCAAGGGGGGGATGAGACTGTGGGGGGTGCAGAGGAAAAGGGAGAGAGAGAACCTCAAGCAGACTCCCTGCTGAGCACAGAGCCGAGGATGCCCAGCTCCACCCCATGACCCTGATATCATGATCTGAGCCAAAGTTCAGGGCTTTTTTTTTTTTTAATTTTTTTTTTAAATTTATTTATTTATGATAGTCACACAGAGAGAGAGAGAGGCAGAGACATAGGCAGAGGGAGAAGCAGGCTCCATGCACCGGGAGCCCGATATGGGATTCGATCCCGGGCCTCCAGGATCGCGCCCTGAGCCAAAGGCAGGCGCCAAACCACTGCGCCACCCAGGGATCCCAAAGTTCAGGGCTTAACTGACTGAGTTACCCTGGCACTGAAAGTCTTAAAGATATTAATAAAGATAAGAATCATAATCTTCAAAGTCAAACTGTTCAGAAAGCATGGAAGTAACTCCTTCATGCCTGCTAGCAGTTCATAGAAACATCAATGACCTTATGCTCTCTCGCTCTCATTCTCTCTCTCTCTCTCAGTGCATACATAGGAAAGTATGAATAGGTAACCTCTTTTTCTTCTTATGCTTCTAATATAATGAAAGCATATTAGCAAAAATAGCAACTCAGCTATTATATACCTATAATACATAATTTATATCATATAACTACATATAATATATAAAACCTTGTAGTTATACCTAAAGGCAAGTGTCATCCATCACTTGCATTATTTTCAAATTTTTAAAACTCAAACAATAACTCTACTAATGAGTAAGGGATAGGCGAGGCTAGGTAGGGAGAGACAGGTAAGGGGCTACCCAACCAGGCTCATAGAAACCCCAGATGTGGAAAAATGCTACAGACAAGATATTAACCAGAGAGAAGGGAACATAACAAATCCACCTTGTTTGTTCTAAATACAGGTGAGAAATTTTCATAATATTTACAAGTCTACCATGTTTGTCATAAATATTATAGAAAAGATATTTACCAAGTTCCCTGGTCAGTTTTCTATAAAAGACCATAAAAGGGGTCAGTGGCAATGCATTTGGGACCCTTCTCACTCTAGAGACCTTTTTCTTTTTCTTTTTTGTTCTCACCTTCTCTTAATAAACTTTCACTTCACTTCACCCTATTGTCCAAGAGATTCATTCTTCCAATTCTGTGAGACAAAAACTCTGCAAGCTTGCAACACTCCTCTATGGAGAACTCAACTGGTGTGATACACTAATAATAACTTGGTATTGTTGAGTGTTAGGTGATTCCCAACATATGATATTACTTACATTACTAACCTGACAAAGCAGGTATTAATCTCATTCTCTACATGAGGAACCTGAGACCTGAAAAGTTAAGTCATGTATCCAAAGTTTTACAACATGAAAAGAATAGTGCCTGTTCCTCAAATCCACCTCCTCCTGGCACCCTAGTGTTTATCTCTGTGCCCCTCCATCCCTTCTACAAATGCATGTGGACTTGTATCTTTCTTTGAGGACCGGAGTCTACAGTCATCAGGCAAGAGAAAAAAGCAGACATTTAAAATTACCCTTAAAATTTCCTTAAGCATGTATACTGCCAAGAAATTCCAATAAAGCAATTTTTTCTTCTCCTTTTTCATGTTTTTAACTAGAACATATTGCTGTTTTTTGAATGAATATCAGAAAATAGTGGGATTATTTTAGAGATTGTGGCATATGAATATGTATCTCTGTCTACTGAAGTCAGGCTTGGGGTAGCAAGATGCTCATATGAAATTTATTATAAGTACATGATGAATATCATAATACTTACAGGAAAAGAACTAATCTGCGAGGCATTGCCTGAACCCTCAATGTTTTCCTGCAATTCTGCAACTGGCTTTTTAGTTACTCTTCTCCTCAAATTCAAAGGCTCTCAGACTAAAGAACCTCATCTGAAATGGCTGCCAATGATAAAATCTTTATTTCTGCGCTGGGCCATTTCAACATATGTTTAGCTAAAATTATGAGCTAGGAGTTTAATACCATATTGCAAGGGCTTTTCCTTTCTGCAGTGTCATTATACAGCAGACTCTGATATTATATCTTAAGTTTTCACCAAGTAGCACCAGGAATAAATAACCATATGAAACTCACCACTGACCTGTCTATAAAATATAGTGTTATAAAAGTTCCAAAGCAAACATTTGTCTTTTCCCTGTCCTTTACTGAATAATCAACATGATTTTGACCTTATGGACACTGTAAATTTTGTAATGAAATGGGTAGTGATCTTTGCTTTGTCCGGTATTAAATTTGAGACCCACTTGCAGCAATTACATAGAATAAGATGGTATCTGAACTGTATCTCTGAATTTTATCTTCTATTTTACCCATATTTTCTCTTTATCTTATCTATTGGCTGTTATGCTCATATTTTAGTTATTGCTCTAAATTGGCTTCTAGTATTTGGGTCAAAGCAGGAGTCAAAGAAACAAAGAAATAAATAAAAATGTAGTTATCAAAACTTATAAGGTATTTCATTGAAGATTCACAAAGTCCATTATTAACGACTCTTATATTTTAGTACGCCTGACACAAGCCCAGAGTTAAGGTTTCTTTCTGAATCAGAAAATTTCTAACTGAATTATACTAAGTATATTTCCCTTGGAAACACAGATTCTGGGACTATAGTAGTGAATGAGACAGACACAATCTCCTCTTAGAGTCTAGGGGACAAGACAGAAAACATCAACAACAAAAATTATACCAGTATGTGACAAGTGCCATGGGAGGAGATACTAAAAATACAAGGCCAAGCGAATAGACTGAAGAAAGTTTGAAGTACATTTATACATTTAAAAATGGCATTTAGGATGAGACCTGTCAACGATCAAGAGTTATCTAGTCAAAGGGATGAAGAATAAGAATATTTCAGTCAGATGGAAAAGCATAAAAATGACCCAGCTCTCAAGTGAATTATTCAAATTTAAACTAATGATAAGGGACTGAGTTAAAATCATGGGATATATATATATATATATATATATATATATATATATATATATACATACCCTGGCTCCCTTCTTTTAGTAGCCATTTGCAGATATACCATCTATACCCTGATGCATTACATGTCTAGGTGTATCTCTAGAATGACAAATATTCAAAACCATGTCTTCAGCATTTATGATATGTTTCCTCATGAAAAGGACCTCTGTTTCTATTACCTTGCTTGTGTATTTACCTTTATGGTCAGCTAACTATTCCAGTCAATAACCATTCAGATTAGATGAAATTCTTACAAACCAAACTGAGAACCTAACTTTAGCATTAAGAATTTTACAGGAATATCCAAGCATGCATTTTTTAAATGTATGTTTACTGTATCCAATATTTCCATATGGGGAAGCCTAAATATTTATTGCCAGAATTCCTGTGAAGATTTTAATCTCATTTCTCAAAGTCTGTCCAATGGAAACCAGCTGGCCAAACATTTGAACTCATTAATTCCATTTCAAGCTAAAGAAACTTATAAAATAATCTAATACAAGTGCTACTTAATTTAACTATCTTTCTCAAAATAAAGTTCCAAAGACTATTTGACTAAATACAGTCTACTGTCTAGATAATTTATTTAACTTGGTTTTAGATAAGTCAGTCAGAGTGTCACTGTCATTCCTTTTCAAAGCAAAGAGCCACCATGATTAGGGTCTCATAATTCTAAACAATTTGCTCACTTTGGAGAGGGGCAGAGAAGAAGCGCATGTGTGGAGAGGCACATTTATCAATACTGTTTCAGGTTTCTGTGTGCAGGCTGCAATCCACATTATTACTCACTACACAGAAGTAAGATACCAAATTTAGTACATATTCTCTTATTTCCCTTTCTGCTACTAATACTTTAGAGGACTACTGTTTCACACTTTTGAAAATATTCTCTTCAAAACTGGCAAAGTGTTGTAAATGAAGGCTTTACAGATTTACTTTACAGGCAGTAGGGAATATGAGAGTAGGGATATAGTGATTATCTACAGTGTTGGTTTAATGAAGATTGGAAAGAACACTCCAAGCCACAGACATGCGAAGAAGGTCATCTTGACCATTGCAATGTCTTCCTACCTGCCTCTTTGGAAATCTGGGTGAAGGATTCCACACCTTTCTCTCCGTAACTCCCTTCAGATGCGAGGGTAGACACATAATTCCAGCCTAGGGCCTTTACAATATCCACCATAGCCTGAGCTTGGAAGGAGTCAGGTGGGACCACACGGGAGAAGAAGTCATAGCGCCGGTCATCACTTAACTCAGGTGCCGTTGATGCATAACTGATCTGGGGGATCTGGAAAGAAAAGAAAACACCACATGAGAGAGCACCCCACCAGGATGTAAGAGATTCACTTATACCGATGATAATTCACTCACAATACAGGGCTCGAGCTCCAAAGAGGATGCACGTTTTAGTAAACAAATCACTGCAACTCTAAACTACCTAAATGCAACCAGCTACTTTCAGATAGCACAGAAAGATGCGCTTTTGTGCCTTGGCCTCTCATTTCCTCTTCAGAAGTAATGAAGATGGTAGGGAATCACATGAGTCATGGTGGTTAGGAGAAAAGAATTTGTAAACATTCTGATAAACAGAATCATGTTTCACTTTTTTTTTTAAAGAATGAATGAATGAATGAATTTATTTATTTATTTATTTATTTATTTATTTATTTATTTGAGAGAGCGAGTGAGCACAAAAATAGGAGGGAAGGGCAGAAGGAAAGGGAAAAGCAGGCTCCCTGCTGAGTGGGCAGCCCAGGACCCTGGGATCATGACCATGAGCCATAGGCAGACACTTAACGAACTGAGCCAACCAGTTACCCCCATGCTTTATTTCTCAAAAGCAATTAGAAACCACAACAAAGGGACAGCTGGGTGGCTCAGCGGTTGAGCTTAGGCCTTTGGCTCAGATTGTAATCACTGGGTCCTGGGATGGAGTCCCGCATCAGGTTTCCTGTAGGGAGCCTGCTTTTCCCTCTGCCTATGTGTCTGCCTCTCTGTGTGTCTCTCGCGAATAAATAAATAAAATATTAAAAAAAAAAAAAAAAAGAAACCAACAAAAACAATTACCTAGCTGGAGTTTATATAGAGATTGGTTGACATGGCTCATGAATATTGGTGGATATCATTAGTCATCTAACATTGTTTGAGTACTGATCATCTGTGATGAAATGTCTAAACAAGCTGCATCCATCATTTCATATATTCTTCACAAGAATATCATGAAATAACACTTTAGAACCAGGCCGCAGGGTTTCTTGCCATAAAGCCTTCACTTCAGCAGTCCCTGCAGTTTGGAGGGTCTTTCTCAAAATTTCCTAAGCTCCTCTTTGGGTGCTGAGAGATGCAGGGCTGTCCTCTACCCTTCATGGGATTCAGCAGATGTCCCAAGGAGCTCTAGAACTTATGCCTGTGAGGATCATCCTAGGGCCCAATAGCAGGGCCTTGATTCCAGGAGAGTAGCCTAACATGTAGATTGCTCCCTTTACCTAGTATAGTACTTGTTTCTTAAGACTATATGAGATTAGGCTTACCTAAAGAGGCCTGACATGCTGATTTTAGCTCAATCAAATTATGTAAAGAGGCTCCATAAAAAATGTTTGCTTGGGATTCCAAATACCCAAGAGGAAGCCCCAAAGTAGCCACTAGTTAGGATACTGCCTTAGGTCCTAATCTCAAGACCTCTACACAGTTACTATTACCATAGTTCTCCTAACACTAGCATGCAACAGACTGTGATTGGTACCATTAATCAGCTGTAAGAATGAGCAATTTCACAAAACTCTGCTTGCGCACTCTCCCAGGCTTTACACTTGCTTTATCATACAGATTTCTCAAGTGTCTAAAAGCCAGTTTTGATCTTTGCTCAAGCCAAGCCTGTCAACTCTGCTCCAAAGATGCCGAAGTTCCACTCACGTTGATTCTTTGAGCCCTGAAAAATCCTACTCAGTGTTTACCTATTCCTTTCCTTCCAGTGCAGTTTGCCCAAAATAAACCTATTTACTGTTGTTTAACGCTGGTTACCACCTCTGTAAAGCTCATTTCTCTATCAACCTTTCTTGTCAACATTACTCTCAAGTCAGATGGCCCTGAGAGTAGATTGATTACCTAACATGAAGCCCATCCTTGATGCACTTTCTTCCATGACCCTGGGGGCACTGTCACTGATTCAAAGCCCAAAACCAGTGTGAGAAAGCCTCAGTCTCCCTATCAGGAGAAACTCTTTGTGATAGGGGTCATGAGGTGTAGTGGAGATAAAATGGGATTTAGTATTGACAAGATCTGGAATCCTGATGCTTCTCTTCATGAATGTTTACTTTGGTGAAGTTATTTTGCCTCAATGAAATGTCATTAATAAAAGTTTGTTTTGAGGGATAAGAATAATGATTACACTTTGCTTAGCATAACGCTGGGACAGACTGCTTGATTCACACATGGAGGTAATGATAATCAAAACAGAGAACAGTGTGTGTTTCCTTACAAAGTTTACCCATTCCTCATATTTGAGTTCCCAAGACACATTATTGCAAACATTCCCTTTACTGTCCTAAGGGAAGAACATATTTTTATATATTTCTGTCATCATTGCTTTAGGCATAATGCCTATTATTTATCCAACTTTTTCTTGCTGCCAGTTATGTTCTAAAAGTTTCATATGCAGGAATTTATCTAACCATCAGTAAATATTCTTTATTATATTAAACTATTACTATCTCATTTTACGTAAGAGGAAATTGAGACTTGAAAGTAGGATATGTCCGTGCCTCAAATCCAAAGTTGTAAGACAGAGAGCAGTACTCACACCTGAAACTGCCCAGTGCGAACTTCTGAACTCTTAACTATGACACTTTGCTGAATCGCTGGTAAAACATTTTAATAAGAATAAAACAAGGAAAAAAAAAAGAATAAAACAAGGAAGGAAAGTAGATTACTGGAGTCCCACAGCATTGACTACAGAGCCACTAAAAGTTTTTTTAGTGATCATTCCTAGACTGTTATTCAAACAGCATTGTATGTAAATGCCTTGTTGAAGCTTATACAAATATCTTAACAGAATGAGCTCCCTATGTTTCATTTATAGTTCCAAGGTTATAAATTCTAGGTAAGGAAAACTTCAACTGAATAAAGACTTCAGGCAGAAAAAAAAGGAAGGGATTAAGGGAGGAATGAAGAGAGAGAGAGGTGAGGAGTGGGGAGAGAGAGAGACTTTTTCATATAAGAAATAAAAGGGAAAGAAGCCAAGCATGTCAATACATTTCCATCAATTTCGACTTGTGGAAGTGTAAAAGCTGCATGCTGTTGCACAGATGCCTTTGCTGCCAAAATCCCTTTCTACCTTTGAAACTGTGCTAATGAAGATACTTCCAGCCCTCTACTTGAATTTGCATTTATGTAGCTGAGATAAAATATCAGAATTGTGAAGCCCTCCCAAAGCAAGTGGATTTTCTATACTGTGCTCCAAATTCAGTGATGAAAATCTTGGTAAAATAGATTTCTTCCCTCACTACCATGCATCCTTTAAAAGTGGTCGCTATCTGTGGTCTGTCTTTTCATTATAAATAAGACATATCTCCTGGTTTAAGACTCATATGTACCTTTAGGATCATGCACATATCTTATATACAGTGTACTTATTTCTACATTATGCATATGTTAGAATAAGGAACGAAAGAGCAAATGGATTTCATTTCTGTGATAAAAATATAGCTGCATAAGGACATGCCTCCTTGCAGTGAGAGATGAAAGACTGCAGGAATTTATGTAACCTATGAAATACGATGCTACTTATTTAAGTATCACATTGCATATTTAGTTACTTGTTTTTAAAACAGTGTTTAAGCACACCACGTAATTATTTTGAAGTGTGTGTTATACCTGGTACCTACAACTGGCAAAATTATTATTAGTCATCTTCAGCGATTAGCCTCCACATTCTCCTTGATAGCCTAGCAATACTTTCTCTTCCTGCTACTGAAATCCTCTCTTCTTGCCAGTCTTCGATGGAAATGCAGAATTGATCCTTTGATGAAGAAAATTTAGTGTAGTAATACTTTGGCTGTAGAATAGTAGATATTTTGTCTCTCTTTGAGAATTCCCTTCTCTGATTAAATAATAAATGATAATAATAATAATAATAATTAATAATAATAATAAGCATTTTTTAAAGATTTTATTTATTGGGGCACCTGGATGGCTCAGTTGGTTAAGCATCTGCCTTGGGCTCAGGTCATGGTCCCAGGGTCCTGGGATCAAGCCCCTCTTCAGGCTCCCTGCTCAGTGGGGAGTCTGCTTCTCCCTCTCCCTCTATCTTTCCCCTGGCTTCTGGGTCTATGCTATTTCTCATTCACTCTCTCCAAAATAAATAAATACAATCTTTTTTTAAAAAAAACTCTATTTATTTATTTGGATAAATAATAAGGAGGGGGTGGGTGAGGAGCAGAGGAAAAAGGGACAAGCAGGTTCCCCACTGAGCAGGGAGCCAGGACTTTGGGCTAGATCCCAGGACCCCAAGATCACGACCGAAGCCAAAAGCAGAGGTTTAATCGACTGAGCCATCCAGGCACCCTGAGCATTTTTAATCTTTATCACAGGACTTAATTTTCATCTTCTTTTATTACTCTCTACTATAAATTTGCCTATCACATAAACATGGTTTTTGTTAATGATCAGTCTCAAATAGGATTAAAGACATTTATAATCCATTGTAATTGTTTAGAATGAGTCTATACTTTTCCTTAGAAATGTGTATTTCTTTATGAAAAATAGAGAAACAAAAAGAAGAAAATAACTTTAATGCCTTCATCCCTGTTAACATTTTTTCTCTTTATCATTTTTGTGTGTGCATGTGGGTATGCACATATATATTAAAAACTATGCAATTGTGAATCTCAATTTCTTCTCCTCCCACCCTTCCCTGTCCTTTCATTTCACTTTCTCTCTCTCATATTGTATAATATGCCTAGCTAAACCTAACCTAAACCTAATATTCATTGTTAAATGTTTAAACATTTTCCAAGTTTTTGCCACTAGAAAAAAAGAAAAGAAGAAGAAGAAGAAGAAGAAGAAGAAGAAGAAGAAGAAGAAGAAGAATCTTCAAAGCTAATTCTGTGTAGATGTCCCTGAGTATTTTCTTAGAATTTTTTTCAAGCCTCTATCCCCACCAATGTGACAGGAATATTTGAGGTTTACATTTAAATACTTCCCTACATGGAAATTAGTTGGGATTATTATGAAGGTAGACCAACAATCTACAGTGACTTCTCTCAAATGGTTAACTACTTGCCCCAGCAC